AGGGGAGAGTTGTCGTGGTTCAAACCGCCAGAGTTCCATATGGGTGGGTTCGATGCGTCTCCTCGTGAGACGGTTTGTAAAACACCGCATGAAATTTTATCGTAACTACACCAGTAAGGTTTTCTGCAAAAAAAACATGACTATTTCTTGCGTTTTATCGCAAAAATTTGTCTGTCTGCAAAAAAAGACAGAAAAAAGTTCATGCGTGTAATGTTACGTGAGCTACGGAAATTTCACTACAGAATTTTGCAAAAAATGCACAGGAGTTTTTGCTATTTTTTGCATTAAACGGCTCCGGAAATATTGACATGGGTAGTTATAATGACTCATCCATGAGTCATCATTTTGTTGCGTTGTTAAACCAAAAAGATTTTTTGCAAAAATTGTGTTGAAAAACACACGCAGTATAATGCAAAAAAAGCAGGATGTGATAAAAAACAAAAAACTATCGGTTTTTTGTTTATTTTTGCATGAAAAAATACAGCGCAAGAAAACGCATATAAGAATAATGCGTATTCTGGACATGCGTAGTGTGGCCAAAAAGGTGCATGAAAACGCAGATTTCTGCCGAAATCCTGAAAAAATTTTGACGTGGGAGGCAGTAGGTTTTGAAAACTCGAAGCAATGTGATTGCGAAATGAAGGCGCTGTAGGGTAGAAGAAGTTGTCCTAATAAATGAATTTTTAATTTCTCACATATTGTTTTTACTTCTTTGGATATCCATGTGTTTTTATCAGTATTGTTTCAAAAAACAAAATATGGACTTTTTGTTTAAGTAATCAGTAGTGACCTTGGTTGTTTCCTTTTATCAGATTTACCAACGTTTTCTGATCAATGGTTTAAATATTTTTGTCAAGAACCACGTTGAAATATAACAACATATCAGAATAATTGATTAAATCAACCTGTTTTTTGCTTAACCCATGCTGTATGATTCAATCAATCGTAAGCGAGTTGGTTCTGAAATATTTGGCATCGATATATTTGCGTAGATGAATACTTCCCTTCAATTTTTGTTTTTTTTTGAATAATGAACTGTAACAATCAGATATCTTTGGGCTTCTTTCGATGTTTAGAAAATCGATATATGTCGAAGTCGAACCCAGGTCTTGGTGTATATTCGTGCCATAGCACAATAATGTTGTTTCTCTCATTGCGATTTGAAATAGAACATTCTCTTTGTATTAAGACTAAGAAAAAATTTGCAATGGGAAGTCTAAATCGCTTGTGCTTCAAGTAACTAAACTCCCATGATCGGCTCAGTGGTAATTTTCTGGATCTTCGCTAAGTGTCCACATTTCTTAAGTGATAGTTAATTGCATGTGTTTAGGGTGTTATATTACAAAGCATTATGCATGAAAAGTGAATCACCTGATATATAAGACATACTCTTTTTTAAAAAGTAAAGATTCGAATAAATTTATCGTTCTGAAAGACATGCATCTTTAGTAAAATTGTTGCTTCGTTTCTAGTAATTCAAAAATGGCTAGTAACGCTGCTGAGTTCAATGATTTATATCAGAAAAAGACAGCTGAACTACAAAAATTAAAGGAAACATGTGAACAAGAATATAAACAAGTAGAAGAAAGTGAAAAAGAAGTTAAAAAAGATTGTGAAAATATTAAAAAAGATTTAATACAAATGAAAGAAGATAAAGATTTAATAAATAATAACATCGAACAAAATTTAACTAATTTACAAATATTACAAGATGGCCAACAAATACTTAATCAAGAACAAAAACAATTAACACAACAACTTAATGCACAACAACAGATTATTGATGAGTATCGACAAAACATTGATGATTATAAAAAACAATTAGTTCAACAACAAAAATTTATGAATGAACGAACAGAAGAACAAAAGCAATTAGAACAAAAACTAGCTGAATTGAAACAACAAGAAAATGAAAATATTAAACAAGAAAATTATTTACAATTATCATTGGTGAGTTTACAACAGTTAATTGTTGATCAAACACGTGAAATTGAATTATTAAAAACGAATGCACAACAAGAACAAATAAAAATAAATGAATGTGAAAATATGATTCAAGAACTGAAACGAAAATTATTAGCAAATGAAAATGAAATGAAACAATTAGATGAACAATTGAATGAAATGAAACATGAACAAGAACAATTAAAACGACAACAGATAGATTTAAAACATCAAGAAGAACAACTTCAAAATTGTCTGGATACATTACAGCAAATATTGAAAGAGAAAGAACAAAATATTAAACAGAAAACAAGTGATATTGATCGTTATCAACAAAATATACAGAAATTACAAGAAAAAGTGAATACATTAGAGAATGAAGTGGTGAAATTAAATGATGAAATGTCAAAACAACGAGAACAATTGTCATTAGATGAACAGGAATTACAAAAACTACAAGATCTATATGAACGATGTGAAAATGAACGAAAACGATTAAAACATGAACAACAACAGTTGTTGAATGAACAGCAAGAATTATTAGATCAAAAAAAAATTATCGAACAACGATTAGATGATGTAAAATTATTATTAGAAAGAACGAAAGCAAATATTGATCAACAAACATCGAAATTAAATAATTTTAAATCAGAATTACGTCTGTTACAACAAGAATATGTTACTTTAGAAAATGATTTAACTAATCAAACAACGCTTGCCGAACAATTAAAGCATGAACAGGAGGAATTAAAAATAGCGTGTGATTTTGCTGAAACACAATATCACAATGCTGAAACAGCATTGAGTACAGCCGAAAGTAATGAGTCTAATCAACAGACGACCGTTCATGGACTAACAAGAGATTATAATGATTTAGTTTTTGATGTAGAAGAGGCGAAATATGCAATGGATAGAGCTGAGTCAGAATTACAAAAGTTTAAAAATGCTCTAAAGAAAGAGGAAAAAGATTTAAAAACTTATGAAGACCGTTTCTGGATAACGAAAAAACTTATGTATCCACGAACCGAAAGTCGAATAAAAAAAGCTATTGAAAGTGTTAAGAAGGAAATACGTGATGCGGAGAGGGAATATGAGAACAAAAAAAATTCATATAATCGAATTGTTCAGAAAAAAAATGATGTACATGAACAAAAAACAAGAGCAGAAAAAAAATTAGAAGAATACCAACGAAAAGTTACAGAGGCGACAACAAATTTATCAAATAGAAAAACTAAATATGAAAATACTAAAAATGATTTAAATAAAAAAACATCGAACTATCGCGATGAATTACGTAAACAAAAAGAGATTGCTGCAAAATTACAGAATACTGATCGTCAAATAAAACGTAAAGAAGATGTCATACAACAAACAACAACAGAATTAGAACGTGAACAAAATAAATATGAACAATATCAAGATCAGAAGAAAACAATTGATGAAAATTTAGTACAATTAAATGGACAATTAAATAAATGTAAAAGAAATCAAAATACTGTATTAGAACAACTAACAGTAAATCAATCAGAATTAGATATATTAAACAGTAAAAAAAATCATCAACAATCAACAATCGATAAGGACAAACAAAATATTAATCAAATAAAAGATAAAATGACTAATAATGATAATCAGCAACAATCGTTAAAACGTGATATTAGAAATGAAGAATTATTACAAGAAGCTAAAAAAGCAGATGTTCAACAGTTGAAACAACAATTAGGAGAACAACAAGAACAATTAAGTAATATTAAACATGAATTAAGACAAAAACAGCAAGATATTCAAAAATATGATCGAACAATACATATATTAGAAGAAAATAAATTAAAAGTTGAACAAAATAAAATTAATCATTTACAACAATTGAAAGAATATGAAAAACAATATGAAGATAGACAAATAGTTAAACAACAATTGGAATCAAAACAAAAGATAATGGAAGATAAAATAAAATTATTATCAAAACAAGAAGAACGTCTATTTAACGATATGAAACAAATGGATTTAAAATTAAAAGCAAAACAAGAAGCAATTCTTCAAGATCAAAAAGTTATAACAGGTTTAAATACAAAAATAAAACAAGAAAAAGAACAAGAACAACAGTTAACAACGAAATTAGAACAATTAAGTGGACAATATGAAATTAAAACGAATCAATTTCAAGCTGAACAAGAAGAAATACAACGGATTAAAACACAATGTAATCAATATCAACAACAACTGAAATATTGTCAACAATCAATTGAAAAAAAACAAATTGATTTAGAACAAATACATTCAAAATTAATTCAATTTGATCGAAGAAAAGGCGAAATAAAAAATCAATTTGATTTAAAAAAATTAGATTTAGAAGCACAACAACGACAAATTATTTATGAAAATTATGATCCAAATTTACTTGAAAATGAAATTGAAAATGAAAATGAAGATGATTTATATTGTGAGAATAATCAAGAAAAAGATCTGAAAAGTTATAGATGAATAGATAGGTGCATGCATATAAAAATTGACTCAAAATTCATTTCTTATTCAAAACCATTTTTTTTCTCAGTTATTGTTGTTCATTTTAAACCTTTTCTACTCTAACCAGTGACATGTAGTTTTAAAAAAAATGTTGTTTTGGATAATTTGTTTGTAAAACATGATAAGAATACATTTATGCAGAGATTAGGTCTTTTTTTTTATTCATTTTAAACAAGAAGTAACTTTGAAACTCTTTTGTTTTCTTCTTGATCTACTTCAGGTTAGAAATAGTGTTGTTTATCGTCTATATATGAGCTCGTTTTAGAACAATGTTTGAAATTGAAGAGTCACCATTTACTCGATTTATGAAAGAGCAACAACAAGAAACCGAAAAAGAGCAAGAACAAATTTCTCAAACTAAACGATTAAAAAGAAATGCCGTACCACAACAACATCAACAATCAAAGACTAAAGTAGAAAAATTAGCAGAAATTCAAATGAATGTACGTTTAAAATTAAATTATGATGAAATTAAATCATTTATTTATAATGAATTAAATCAAATAGATAATAATTTAGAAATTATTGATGATATAAGATTAAAAACATTAACTTTATTTCAAATATTTACGTTAATACTAACAAGTAAACCAGTTGATATGAGTCAATCAATTGAACGAACAATTTATCGTCCAAATTTTTATATAAAAATAAATGATGCATTTGGTCCATTTAATTTTAATTATTTATTAGATTTATTTGACATTGATTATTCTCCAAGACAAGAAGAACAACAATTTCCATATGTATGGCAAACAACATATGACACAAAAGTACATGTAAAAATATGGGATATAAAACCACAGTATGAACGTCAAAATAGTTCAACAACAACAACAACAAATACTAACGATAATGAGACATTACTTGGTCTATTAAAAAAAATATGTCGACAAAATGCATATGATGATTCAACAGCAGAAAATTTACTTAAATGTTTAGAAGGTAAAGATAGAAATTATTTTGTTTAGATCAGTTTCACGGACAGAGTCAGCATGTCCATGAAACTTTGTAAGAAAGATTAGAATCGATTAGAGATGAATTTATAGACCTTAGTCGTATTTTCGAACGCATTAATTTTCATCCCAAAGAGCTATACGGGGGTATATAACCCAGTGAACTTTTTTGATACCAAAAATTTCCTTTGAACGCGTAAAAATTGACATTTTGTACCTTTGAAGGTACCTTCCCCCCACCGCTCTCTTT